CCCCCCTCCTCTACCTTCTTTCCCATTTTAACTACACTCTGCCTTATGAATACGAATTTCATTTTTTTTGCATTGATCATACAACTTCTCAGAGAATCTGCAATAGTTGCTCAAGTCACGGCTTCTCCAGACGTACAGTTATGTGGGTTATATTAATGAGGCGTAACTAGTGAGACCTTGGCCAAAGACTTGTTTGCTTAATATTGGACAACATTGAATACTCGCGTTTGCTCAAAGTATATCTTGTGCAATTTTCGGTTACTGCCTTTTAAATTGGTTTTCTTTCCTTCTTATGCTCCTATTTGGTAATGAGATCATTCTCTAATGTAGGTCCTGCTCACCAGGTATCCAATCAATATCATGGATCCCACTTGTAGATAAAGAGGACTCTTTTTAAAACCAGTTAGTGGTCTCTAAAATCGCCTATCAGCGGTATGTTATCTCAGAATTACTTCTTCCTTGTTGACCTAGTTATTGAATTTACCATTTATTGATTTTTGTATTATTAAGCTACGAATGTTAAAGTCCGATTGCGGAAGTAAAAAAGAAATGGTGGAAACAGGACCTTATATACATATATATATACAGAAGTGTAGTTTCGCTATTCTCAACTACAGCTTTAGAGTGACTTCAGCTTCCAGGGCCCATGATTCGCAACTAGAGTTCATTGGTGTTGTTGTTGTTGCTGAAGAAAAAAGCATCTAAGTACACGAGGCCTCGAAGTTGGAGTGAAGTTGGCTGTGGAAATTGGAAAAGCGATAGAAGTTGGGATTTCAAAGGAGCCTTAGTTAATCTGATTCGTCGAATTTTTCATTTTTGATAGACATTGGCAGATGTCCACAACATTTAGCATTGAAGTTGGCTCTTTGCTACCTCGTGAGTGAACACTGAGGAGTTCTTCAAACAAGAAGCTGTTGAATGTCATGTGAGATCATTCGCCTTTCTAGCCAATGGGAGAAATATATGTATTTATTTATATCAAGTAGCAGGCGTTTTGATAGTCATCGTTAGCCCTTTAACTGACTTCGGGTTTCACAGAGAGGAGGAACATCAAAGTGAGAAAAATTCGAGAGGGGGGGGGGCAGAAGAGTGACTCTATGATGTAAAAGAGACAGGGAGACATAAAGGCAGAGGAAAGGTAAGAAGAGTACTGTGGAAGGGTTCGAATATGACATATAGTGGGGTCATGGTAATTTGAAGTGAGAAGTCAACTGCCAGTTAATAGACTTCTTTGGCGTATGAATATACGTTGCCAAGGCTGCACCGCGTGGAGGTAAGTCTATCGTACAACCCTGGGGGTGGGATATACATTAACGGGGAAAAACCGATCCTTCTTGTTTAAAAAAAAATACTACTTAAGAAATTCTGGAAATATTTGGAATTTGAAATACTTGCTCAAATTCAAAGAATAAGCAGAGTTGGAGTCCTTGATATCCTAAAGTTGCTCTCTACATGCTCTCTCTATCCTCAAGCCCTCCGAATTTCTATCAGCCGATTTTATTTGCTTCCTAAAATGTAATATTGTAAAGATTTCGTACCACTGTGAGTAATTGCAATAATATATTGCGTGTCAATAATTCCAAATGCACTGTTGTTTCAATTGCGCAAGCGTGTATATATATATATATATATATATATATATATGCGTGTTTCAGAACGGCTACACATTCATTCTTGGCGTTGATTGGAGGGACAAGTATTTCTAGTGAAGGAGGAGATTAAGTTAGCCCTCTTTAAAGTGCACTACCACTGACCTTCTAGCATTATAAAGAATCGAATTCCGATGCCCTTTAAAAGAGCACGCCACTTAAACTCTGATATGCAGAACTATTTATCTGGTAAGATATATTTTCAATGTCACCACCCTCCATTGTGATTTCTCTTATACTTACTTAAAAACTTATCAACTAAACTTAATTGGATCGATTGATATGATGGGCTATTCTTTTACTTATCTCCAGTCCCCATTTCCACAATTCCCTTCATGGAATTTTGTCTAGCGTGTTTGCTCTTTCCAGAATCAGCTGCGCTACCTCTTTCGTTCTCTGATAGTTGAGTTCGTGACTGTTTAGCTTTCTTTACTTTGCCATTGGCATCTGATTTGGGGACCTTGTATATTCTTAGATAAGGAGAATTCGCCTCAATTTCGAGTATGCTATTACTCCTGAGTGCATGGAGTGCAGTGAAAGAGGAGGTGAATAACACTGCGGGAATGTTTGTGGCGGAGTTATTTAATTCGCTTTAGGAGGAGGAGGAAGAGGCGAAGATTCAAGACGTTGTTACCTCACAAGACTGGAGCTTTAAACTGCTTCCATGAGATTTGCCAATATGGAGCTATTAATTGTGATACCTGGAACACTTACGCAACCATCCCCATCAGGCTTTTAAACTGCCTCCTTCAATATTCTCAAATTTGGAAGACTGACACGTGTTTGAGTTACGTCCAGTCAATTTACGACGTATAATAGGTTATGTGCAAGGTCTTTGTCTCATAAAAGTGTGAGTTCCCTAATATGAGGCGCTTGGATTTTTTTAATTGGTTCCATTCGAGATTATAAAAGCCTAAGTGGCCTTGAATTTTTGTATACAAGCAATCTAAAGTTCCATGAACTGTGGCTTACCCATCAGTTTGATAACAGACTACCTTGTAGCGGATTGCTGCGCTAGTAAAGCCTGACCGACTCAGAAATCTCTGTGACAGATTCTCCTACATCTAGCTCTTATTAATTTACATAAATTAATGATATTGTTAAGTATTTTATCTTTTTTTATGCGAACATGCAATTAAGAAGTTAATGTAGCTGTAAGGTTTTAATTTAAAGCTCATATCATGTATGCATTCTTGAAGCTTTGAATGGAACTTGTTCAGGAAAAGGACTGTAATGTTCTGAGTATCTAACAACTGCTATCTAAGCTAGGATTTACGACTTTAAGTAGACTACATTTGTAGAAGAAGAAGTATGGATAGCTCAATAACGTAAATGCCTTTTCAATTAATCAATCATAGAAACTTAAGTAGGTAACGAGTTTAAATTTGTAGGCGAAGCAAGTAAGAAACTCCGTCGATGAGAATTAACCGGAGCGCTTTCTCATTGTGAACAGAAATCAGGTGAAAATACTCGCGTTCGCAGGTTTCCAAGGCGTCTTTCACTTCGGACCTGTCTTGGGAAAATTTGTAAAGGCAACGTCTAATGCAAACGTTGCTCAGTTTATCATCATACTTATGAATGTAAAAGTGCTATGGGCAATATCTCCGTGCCTTTGAGGGGATTAAGAGGGGCAATGGTTGTCGGGTGTCCATTTCAAATGCAGTTAACGCGAAAACTCAGTTCCCCATGCATGCTGCCATTGTACTGGACCCGCATAATTAAGGCTAGCAATTAACGGGCCAATGAGGAAGCGGATTGAAAAGGTCTGAAAAACGTGAAAGAGTAATTGAAGGAAAAGTGACCGCTTTAGGTAAAAGATTAAGTTCCAAATTTGTTCCACATCGATGCCCTCTTGGTTGCGCACGCATCGCTCTGCGACTAACGCGAATGTCCATCAACGAACAAATTGACGGCCAACCGCGTTGAGTTAGTATAAACGGTAAAGTGGTGACTCCCAATGACGCTTTTCGGAATGGGCTTTGGGGTTAATAGTTAACTAATCACCCTAAATAGGCTGAAAATGTCAACCCTAATAAATAGCATATGATCACCGTAATGGTAGACTTCACTTTGCCAAGTTTATGGATAATTAATAACAAATTACTAATTGACTTATCTTGGCTAAAACTACCCTGCTCAATCCAGAAAGCACACAATCCATTACTGGAACACTTTTTGAAATTAATAATTATCTTACTATTTGCATGTTTTTTTTCCTAGAAATTTCTCAATTGATAGAGTCTTGGCAACTCGCAGATCGACAGAGAATCTTGGACACCTCGTTTTCAATGAGTGAACTTAACGGATTCGGGGGGAGAGAGAAGACGCCCCAAGCTCCTGCTATTTCCACCCGATGTCCACCACCGCGACCTCCGGAAACTTATCGACGCCAGTCTCAATCGGTTCGAGCTCGCACTGAAGAACCCCTCAGGCGAGAAGCTAGGGAATCATCCAGTGGACCTTCGTCGAAGCTTCTTGGTTTCCTTCGACGACCGGAGTCAAAGAAAAAGCAACCGGAGAGGAGTGAGATGACTGATAGTGCCGGAGGAGTGGAGGGGGGAAATGATGCACGGAATAATGGGAGGGATGAACACGTGAAAGAACTACTGGAAGTTGCTGTTGAATTAAAATGGCTGATTGCTGAGAACAGTCGACAACTTGCAGAACTCTGTCACGAAGAAGCGGTGAGGGTATTTGATTTTGCAGAGTGGTAGAAAGTTGGGATTCGAATAGAAAATAACCAGCATAAATGAAGATGTCTTCTTGCTAGCAGTATGTCTTTAAATCATCTGATCATATCATGAGTTAGAATTAAAACTCTAGTTTGGTAAGTTATTTATTTATTTATAGCAAATGGCAGGCGTTTTGATGGTTATCATTAGCCCTCTAGTTGACTTCAGGCTTCACAGAGGGGAAGGAACATCAAAGTGAAAAAAAAGTCTTGGGGGGAGGGAGACAGAAGAGTGATTCAAAGATGTAAAAGAGACAGATACAAAGGTAGAAAAAAAGATGAGGTGAGTACTGTGGTAGTAGTCGAATATGACATACAGTGGGGTGATGGTTGTTTGAAGTGAGAAGTCAACTGCCGGTAAATAGACTTTTTTGCCGTATGAGTATACGTTGCCCAGGGTGCACCACGAGGAGGTAAGTCTATCCCACACCCCAGTTTGGTAAGTTTGAAGGCAACCAATTCTGCGACGCTTAATTTATCATTAGTTTGACACGCAGAGGTGAGCTCAAACTCTCCTTCTCCCCCCCCCCCCTCTCATACATAGTCTCTTCTGACTCCGACAAGGCTTTTGCGTCCACAATCCACCTCTGTGAAACCACTGTTAACCATGGGACCTCCTTTCTTTCGTGTGCAGTTCTCAATGCCCTACAGATGGCATCTCATTGAACTTTCGAGGGTTCCATGGCAGCTATCTTTGTTTGGAGGTTAATTTTGAAAACGATTGGAAGTGATATTGTTGTTCCTGAAGGAGAGCGATTGTGAAGCGATCACCACTACAATAAATTTTACTAGACAACTCCATGAAATGCATTCTTTTAAAGCGAGAGTTTACTTCTAGAATGGAATTGTTCAATAAATGACTGAAAGATGGAATCGGCTATACGTGAAATAAATTTTTGTGCTGAAATAAGTGGAAGTAAATCAATACAGAAAGGACGGCCATCTTTTTCACATTTTTACGGAGTCATTGTTGCTCATGCACATCGATCTACAAGGCACAATTCGCCAATCCCTGATTTCCATAGGTGGTTGAAACTCCACTCAATAGAATATCACCCTCAACGATTCAATAAATCTTTCTTAATAAGTAACTGAAAGAACAGCTACGTCTATTATCCGAGTTGGAAAGAGTAAAAATTCCGAACACAGTGGAAAAGAGTGACTCCCTTTTCTCTGCTTGTCCGATTAGTAGGGCGGATAATACCATTATAGGTTAATTATAATCTTATAGTTACCAAATTTGAGTTATGAAATTTTTAGCATGATCAAATAGCAGGCTTTATGATAGCTATCAATAGCCCTTTAGTTGACTTCGGGCTTCACTGAGGGGAGGAACATCAAAGTCATGACAAGTCGAGGGGTGGGGACAGAAGAGTGATTCCCAGCTGTTAAAGAGGCAGATACAAAGGTAGAAAAGATAAGGTGAGCACTGTGGAAGCGGTGGAATATGACATACAATGGGGTCATGGTACTTTGAAGTTAGAAGTCAACTGCCGGTCTATAGACTTTTCTTTTGGGTATACGTTGCCCAGGGTGCACCACGCTTAGGTGAGTCTATTACATACCCCGCGTTCTGAAGTTATAAGTTTTCCTACATGTGCTTACTTGGTGTAGTCCACTATATCGCTTCTAAAGAGTCAAAATTGAGCATCTTCGGCCTTCAGAGCTGTACGAGCGGCTGACTGAATTGAGTGCATGCTCATGCTTACTCTTCATTGCAATTGCGTTCCTTTAAGCGACTCACGGGGCGACTGCCACAAGACTGTATCCCCGAGTGCAAAGCGGGACATCCACCGGCACCTTTGACAGTTATTACCAGGTCTGTGACTTATCAAAATCCAATCGATTCTCCCCTTGAATCGTCAATTATACCTCGACCTACTATCATCTCCAAATTCCCCACGGTGACACAGAATGGCATTTCATCTTCCTCCGAGTCTTGGTCGCTTAGAAGACTCCCAGTAAGTCATATTCTCTTATGCCCATTCTCAGTTCAAGTATTTTTCTTCATTTCAAATGGCAGGCGTTTTGATGGTTATCATTAGCTCGTTAACTGGCTTCGGGCTTCACAGAGGGGAGAAAAATCAAAGTGAGAAAAATTTGAGTTGGGGGGGGGGGGGAACAGAAGGGTAGTTCAACGATGTAAAAGAGAAGGGCACAAAGGCAGGGAAAAAAGGTGAAGTGAGTACTGTGGTAGTGGTCGAATGTGGAATACAGTGGGGGTGATGGTAGTTTGAAGTCAGAAGTCAATTGCCAGTTTATAGACGTTTTGCCGCATGAGTATACGTTGCCCAGGGTGCACGAAGTGGAAGTTAGTCTATCGCACACCGCTCTACACCTTATCATACTTTCTGGCAAAAGTTTACCAAAATTTTAATTGTAGGAAAAGACTAAATTCTGTTGACTCTTCAAGCTATGGGAATCAAATTAAAAAGCATCCAATAGTTTGGACGGTTTTGTTTTAGAATTGTTTCAAAACTCTCAATGGCGCTTTCATCACCCGAATCGTGGAAAAATTCTAATCCCCATTGTGTCCAATACTGAGTGATTAATTGGGAGGGTCAATTGTATTCCCTAGTTTTTTTTCTTGTTGCTGTTGTCTCCCGAGGAAGTAGGATGATCTTACGTGATCTTGTAATTGCTTAGTAAAATAACTTATTTCCGTAAAAAAAAATCGTGTTCCAAAATTACTTCGAACCAATAATTACACTGCACAGTACATGTTACCACTATTAATAAAACCGCAGCTTGCGCGTAGTAGTCACCTCTCTCGGTCATGATCTATCAGATTTATATCAATCAAAACAAAGGACTGTAAATCGATTTGTAAAAAAATTTTTTTTTCTACCTTAAAAATCGATGTATTCCTTTGTGACATCACAATCCAGGAAAAATTTGAACTATATGTTAAGTGGGCACTTGATTATAGTCACCATGGAGGCTTTCTGGGTGTTGGAATTAGAGCATCCTAAACGTGTGATGAAAGGGGAAAAATTGTTGAACTAAACGTTAATGCAAATGTCTGCAACGCTTTCACCACCAGCGAAAGTTGATAATTGAAGTTCTCGTGGGATGGGTTCAGGGGTATCTCTCCTCCATCTGAAATAAGTTCTCATAGGTCATTCCTTAAGAGGCTTTTGAGTTAAATGGAATTGTCTCCATATAAAAGGAGGCAACTTTCTGCATGGAGAGTGTAATCTTGATGGTTGTGTAATCATATTAAAGAAGACATGGACTTGCAGTTTAAAGGGAAAATGAGATGATGATGGTGAGAGTGTGAACCAACTCAGAGAAACTGGTTTGCACAATCGCCATTTCAGATTCGCAAACTCGATAATCTTCGATGTCTTTAGACGGGATAGTTTAAAAACACGAGTCCTAACTATGCCTGTGCGTCTGATTGGAGTGAGGCGCTGTAATGCACGGTGTTTGCAGAACAACTCAAAATCGTATGCTAACTGTTTGAAGCCGAGCGAATGGCCCAATGGTTTTCCTGTTTTGAAAGTCATTCAGTTAGTTCAAGAGTTTTTCGTGCTCTGGTTACCGAGCGGGCATATTAGTATTCACTAATGCTTCAATGCTATTTTGTAACTTGCTCCAAGCTATAAACATATTCGTCTCCCTTTGAATTTCGCTCTTGTACTTCAAATTACCGAGTCAAGTTACAGGGGATGCTTAATTTATTGCACACGGTGAACAGACCTGCGTTCTGGGAAAAGGAGACATGGCATGGGCATATCGGGCTTGTCTGATCTGGGTGCATTCCCGATGTATATTTAACCGAATCGTGAACTTGGTGAAATGAACTCTTTCAGAAAGGGTCTCACTCTTAACTTTTAAAATAAAAATAAATAAATACAAATCGAATTTTATACTTTCCATTGAAGGGAAAATGTGAATTTTGGTGGTATAGATCATAGATTCAAACAACAGTGACTGTAAATGATCCTTTTTCGCCATTTTTATTCATTTTAGCACTTGTTTAAATGTTTGCTGAAAAATAAGTAAATTTGCATTGTTTTCAATGTCGATTCCGTAGGCTTCTCTCTCACGCCAGTTCGCGGCAACCCTCCGATTCGACTATCGTATGCTTTTCAATTTTCAAATGAAAAAAATTCAAATTGAAATTGAAAAAAAAACACCGAAAATTAAAGGACACAAGCTCTTTTTGTTGGAAGCAAGATTTAGTTCCTTTGGCGGTTGTGTTTGAAGACAATTAAGTGACAGCTGCACTAGAAATTTATGATTATTATTATTATTATTTCAAATGGCAGGCTTTATGATATTTATCATTTGCCCTTAAACTTTGACTTCAGCTTCCCCTAAGGGTGGGGGGGGGTACATTTATAGCAGTTAATCAATAGCAGTTTATTAGCTGTCTTCTGGCTTTATAATATCTCTGAGTTTCCGTCGTTGTCTTTAGGGTTGGACACCGAATCAGGTGGGTCTTCTCCATTTCCTCCTGTAGGTTATATGGGGAGCATGTGGGTTGAGTGTATGCTCCCAATTTGTGAAGGTGTTTTGCCAGGCAATCGTGTCCGGTACGTAGTCTGAACTCAGCAACGGCTTCGATTCTTGGCCAGTCGGGTATGTCGGAGAGTGCCACTGTCCACTGTTTCTCCTTTGTTCGAGCTTTAAACTCGTTGCACCTTGAGGTCTTGAATTCTCTTCTGATTAAGGCCTTCATTGTGTGGAAAGACATCGACTGGTCCATGCATTGCAAAATCGTTGTCCCTTTCTTAGCAAGTGTGTCAGCAAGCTCATTGCCTTTAATGCCACAGTGACCAGGAATCCATTGTAAGACCAATGGGAGTTTATGATCTTTAGAAAGAAAAAAACAGGGAAAATCACTTCTTATTAATTTGAAA